ATCCAACATAGTCACATTTAAAAGCTAAATAACTCATGCAGATTCCATTTTAAAACAGCTTAAATGGGCACTTTGGGGGGAATTAAAGCCAGAAAGGGACAAGTTAAAGGTAACTATAGTGGAAATTAATGGAAAAGCGGATACAATTCCAGGTCATCGTGGACCATAAAGAGAGTTTCATCCACTTCCGAGCTCAAGAAAGGAAAACAAACAATAAAATGAAGACGGATAACTTCTCAGAACTCAGATTTCCTCATCAGGTAAGCGTCCTGAGGGCGGGGCAGGAATATTAGGAGGAAGCAGCAGACAGAAACCACATTACAGAACAAGCCCTCATTCGTCTCTTGGAGAGGAATTTCACGTGTCGGCAGCAAAGTTTCAGGCAGGTGAAAGCGCACAGGTGCGTATCAGAAATAAGCAAATACGCATAAAATATCAATTAAAAATAGAAAACCACAGAAACTGAATGTATAGATGTACATTAAGATATGGAGGTGTGTGTATGGGAAGTGGAGGCACCGTCCGTGGGGGATTTTCCCCAAAACCCCCCCACCTGTTCTGGATTAAGCCTCCGTGGAGAGATGGGGCCTCCATGATCTGGTCCAGGTGTCAGGAGCAGAGAGAACAGCACCTCTAAGGGCTTCACCAAGGCTGTGGGAGTAAATCAGATCAGAATCAGAATCAGAAAATACTTTAATAATCCCAGAGGGAAATTATTCTTGTTACTAACTCCAGAAATAAGACAACAGCATATACATATATACATGTCTATTCTGTGTGGAATTTTGTATATATATATATATATATTCATATGCAAAATTCCACACAGAATATAAATAAATATATACATAAGTAACTACATGTATATATATATGTCTAAAATAAGTGATAGTGATAATATCAATAATTTAGTTAGAATTTACAGGGGGGGGGGGGGGGATGTTTGACTCTCTATGGGAGGCGTTTTCCGGTAAATACACTCATAGAGAAAATGAAAACTATTTAAATGGGGAAATTGGACAGAAAACTGATTTTAAAAACAGAGTCAGAGGCAGAACGGCCACCTCAGACGTTTTTAACTCTGATCCAGGACCACAAACGGGCCCATTTAGACTCCTCAGAGCGTTCTCCTCTCCAGTTTCAGGGCCCTGACCCCGAATGCCCCGTGACCTCTGACCTCCGGCCCAGCCCACGGGGCAAACAGACGTCCTGCTCCTGGTTTAATGTAGCACTAAAGGGCCCGGCAGATAAGTAGACGAGGGCCGAAGAAGGGCCTGAAAAGTCAACATTATGATCTTGAAATCGATCCTACAACACAACATCAGCCAGAGGCTTCTTCTTCTTTTGTAAAAGTCGTTGCTTTCACTAGAGCACGGATAGCTGTAAAACCCCAAATAACATCCATCATGTCGGATTGTTTTCCTTTTAACTCCGTTTCAGTCTGAACTTTCGCAAAACCCAGAAAACGTGGCACAGATGAGTGTTTCTGGGCACGTTGTTTCGTAAATTTACTCATTTTTACAGCGTCTGCTTCTAATTAAGTTGTTAATTCGCCTTTTATAGAGCCAAAAAGACCTTTTAAAAGGGCAGAAAATATCGCTTAAAGCTGCTCAGACGCCAAAAATAGAATAACCGGGGTGGTGCGAGTTATTTTCCTCCCCCTGGAAACAGTGACCCAATTACTGGGAAGACTGATTTGGTTTTCATCAACATGCAAAACAGATGCTCATCCTCAACATCAGCCCGCAGAATATGTACAAATGCAATGGTTGTTTTCAAGCCTGCAGCCTCACCTGCCCACTGTGCCGAAATACGGACTATGTAAATGTAAATCGTTAGAATTTCAGGCAGCTAACAGGTGGGGTTTTGTTCATTGGCGTTGGAATCCTTCCAGGAAGCCACAAAAAGGCTTTAAAACCAGTCAGTCATTAACTTCTCCCAAAAGGTTTTTGTTTCCTCCTCGACCAGAAAATAATCAAACGAAAGCGTGTGCTGTTCTGAGGCCCTGCTGAGAGCTCCTCTGACAGATTCAGGCCGAGTTGGAGCCTCTGTGAGGGAGCCGTTTGAGGTCGAGCCCGGGAGCAGAAAAGAGAGGCCCGAATCTGTGAGTCTGACCGGCTCACAGCAGGAAACCTGACCAGAGGTTTTTCTCCCTTTTTGGAGTCTTTCCAGGAGGCTTTAGAGAAAAAAACAACAACACCCAGAATACAAAAGATAGCTGACCCTACAACCGAGTCATTTCTCACTACGGTACTCATTCATGAAAATAAAAAAACAAATCCGCTCTTTTATGACCGGGATAACATTTTATGGTCTTCTTGGGCTGCTGGATGAGTTCCTGCCTCTGGAAAAAAAAACAAGGAAGTCTTTTTCTAAAGTCCAGGATTCTCATCAGGACCAGGTGGGCTCATGTCACCATTAAGGGCCCCAATCAGAATCCAGCTGGAGGCCTTGGAAGACACCATTGTTCCAAAGACTGAGGGAGGGGGAAGGTTCATAAAGCCAAGTTCAATTGAGCCTAAGTTATTTTAATATATTTGTATTAAGTTAAATATGTTTTTGCTTCTGTTTTGTTAGGTTTTGGGTTCATTTTATTTATCATGTGGGAAGTATAGGGCAGTCCCCCCCCCTATTTAAGCAGCCTTGGTTCTGTCTGGAGGTCAGTTTGGTTTGGGTTTGGTTGCTGTTCAGTTGACCTCAGTTGGGTTATTTATACTCTTAGTTGTATTGTATGGAAGTATGACATTTTGTTATAATTTTTTAATATTATCAAATTGACATTTTTCTCATTTTTGGAACACCTTTGTCCTGGATTCAGTCCGGTCCCTCACACAGCTCCACCTGTATTGGAAGTCGGAGGCCTGACATCATTCAACCCGTCCCCGCTGTGTGTGTGTGTGTGTGTGTGTGGGGGGGGGCTAGGTTTCTGTGTCCATCCACAGCGCCCACGGCTGGCCGACAGTGGAAATGGTCAGCGACATTCCCCAGGAGCTTTAAAGGCCCAACTCTGGGGCTCCCGCCCAGGCTTAAAGCAGCTCTTCCCTTTAATTCCAACGCTTCGTAAACCATCATGGAGTCCATCTGAGGCCGGGACAGGTGAGGACTCAGAGGACCAGCTGTGGACCGAACACAGAAAAACATGAAGGATTTTC